GTGAACTATCACTTTAGCGCCCAATCGTGAGAAGAGTATAGCCGTGGACTCTCCGATCCCAGAGCTGGAACCGGTCACCAGAACTACTTTGTCCGTGAAATCCAAATTGAAAGCCATTTCTCACAATAAATCAAAACACTCCACAAAAGCAATATTCAATGAACTGAATTTAATAATCTCATTATATTTATAAAATGAGAAAACTTTTATCGCGATTCAAGCCTTGACTTTGATTTGTTTGAAAAAGATTGAATTATTGAAAATATTCACAAGTTATAAACATTTCTTTCATTAAGTTTTATTCACAATAATATGCATTAATCTGATTGTCAAGTACTAGCTGATAATCATAATTTAAAGTGTCGCGTTTATTATTTATGAGCTGATTAATTAGGCAATGCCAAAATAAGATTTCAAAATCAAATCAACAAATATTGGGTGAATGTTTAGTTAGATTACCGATAATGTTAAAATCATGTTAGGTAGTATTAAATAAAGAATTTCTATAGATATTTATGAATAAATTACAAGTTTTTATAGTTTTTAAGTAATTATCAAATAGTTTTTATTCTCAAATATGATTTAAACAAAAATATATAATATGAATTAACAGTAAATTGTGTTGAAATCACAATATAATTAAGATTTAGCTTGGAATAAGTTATCATTGGATGCCTATTATGAAAAATATTATTTATGACAACAGAATTGAGATATAATTTAAGTTCAAATTGGGATCACTTTTTCATTTTAAATGTTTGCATATTATCTGGCTATGAAACCCAGACTCTTATGTATAATTTTGTGGTATAATAGCTAATTTGCATGCAATTAGTTTAATCAAAATTAATATTCTAGTAAACAATAGCAACATACGGTATACATGTAGAATATAACATAAAAATAGTTTCGTTAAGAATTAAAGTGTAATAAGAAAGACTAATTTATGCCGTATTTTAAAATTAAAAATTTAGATTCTGTAATAGACGTGTGGTTTATATAGAATCTATATTATAGATTTAAAATTACAAAATTATTGAACATAAATTAAAATGAACTAAAATTCGCAAATTATGAATATAAGCTACATAAATCTCATCAAAAATATCAAACCATATCAGAGGTTATAGATTAAAATATCTTAGGTCACAATGCATGTCCTAAATTAAACAATGCAAATGTGTGTCTAATGAATGTAAAATCAAAGAAACGTATGAAATAAATAATAATAAACAATATGTACAGAGAATTATTTCAAAACAAATGAAAACTTAATAAAATGATAAAATGAATGATTGATTGCTTAGATCTGTTCGTCAGTCCTCTTCGTTCAAATCGATTCGACAAACTTTTGGCGACTTTTTCGGACTTAATTTCTTGTGTTTTTTATGACAAATTTCGTGTGCATTTTGGGCTAAATTCTCGTCGTTTCGTCTTTTATTATCCCCTCTTAAGACCATTTGTTGCGATAAACCATTTGAAGATAGATTAAGAATAGGAACTGAAAATTCATCAAAACATAAGTATTAACACTAAAATTCATTAAAAACCAATCATAAACTTAAAGTAAAAATTAATATTATAGCAATATATATAAAAATAAAAGCAAATTATCAGAAATAAACAAAATACAAAACTATTAAAGCATTAATTTTACCTCAAAGTGTGAATAAATGATGAGGAAAGCAGTCAAATAGTAATAAACAAAACCAAACATACAATTAGAGAGAAACTAAACACCATTTGAAGTAAAGACTAGAATTTCAAAAATCTACGGATTTGGAGGGAGTGTAAGAAAAAACAAAACAAAATATTTATTCATTAGTTATGAATTGGTTGCGAATGAATACAATACAAAGCTAATGAATAAATGAAATTATGCCACAAACACAGCATTAATGGTGACAATGATTACCTTTGGATGAATTCATATCACATTTAGCACTCATATCACAGCTATGATCGACTTGAATGGTTTTGCTACAAATGGGACACCAGTATAGCTTCGGTACCATTACTTGGACATTGGGATTACACGTAAAGGCAGTGATTCGGGACTTCCAGTCGATTCCAGTCTCTGTTCGCTTCAACTTCTCTAATCGTTGCCTTCGGGTGAATGAGTACTGATGGAAACCCATGGCATGACTGCGTTGAGACAACTCCAGGCCAGTGGTCAGGCGCTCAATGTTGCGAGGCTTCCATTTGTTGAGCTTATTCTCGGCCTTCTCCCGGTGCCGGATCTTAAGGGAACAGTAGATCTCATACTTTCGCACCATTGACTCGACTTTCAATTTGTCAAAACACTCGCTCTTCAGAGAGTCGGCCACTCTCTGACCCATTGGTGACGAGAAGGGGTATATCGTCAAGGAGTTGATGTACTGGTTCTTCCACTCCTTGATCACACGCTTCTTATGCTTCTCCAACTTCTTGTACTTATCTTTGATTTTATTTGCGGTCAACACTTTCACACGCCTTCTCTTTAGGCCATCACTCGAGTTCTGAACCTATGGTTCAAAATCATAATTCAATTCAATTTCTATACATTTCTATACATTTTTCTACAATCAGCTATCGATAAGTCCGGCAATGGATACAAACCTTACGACAATCTGTGACCAAATTATTGATTAAGAAGTCAGGATTGAGGAGTACTTGATTCGACGGATTCATGGAATAGCCGTCGGTTTTGGCGATATTTCTCAGACCGAACTGAGTATTGAGTTGTTTGGCGTCCAGTCTATTGAGTTGTCGGACACTAATCAGATCCAGATATCGGT